TTGGTTTTTATTTTTTATACCCGTACTCAAAAAAGAGTTAAGGGGTATATTGTATTTGTGGTAAAAGTGGATGTGTGCAACGCAGAAAAGGAAACGTTTCCGACCCCATAAAGTATATATATTCTTGATCAGCATCAATAGCCGAGTCGATATAGCCATGTCCGTCTGTCCGTCTGTCCGTCTTTCCGTCTGTCCGTCTTGATGAGCGCCTAGATATCAAAAACTATAAGAGCTAGAGAATCCAAATTTGTTTTCCAGACTCATGTGATATCCCACTGCTACAAGTGTATTTCAAAATTTCGCCCCGCCCCCTTCTGCCACCACAAAGAACGAAAATCTGTGGCAGACACAATTTTAAAGATATCGTAGAGAATGCCCATATAGCCAGAATGAAGAAATTAATTTTCAGTTGCTTCTCCTGCCTCATCCTGACAGAGACACGCAACTCAACTAAAAACGCAAACGCAACTAAAAAATCATAAGCTTTAAAAAACTGACTGAGTATAAGTAGAGTCGCGTCCTCAGTTGTTTTCTCAAACTACTGCTAATTTAGTTCATTACAATTACCAGGTTTTGGTAAAATGATCGCTATGCTTCTATTTGTGCTGCCATGGGTCTGCACTTAGCCGAACAGGGGTTTTTGACATAATCGCAATGGCAATAATGTGTAGAAATGGTTTGTTAGTTCTGTTTTGGCATTTTGAAGCGATGCCACCTGGTAGAACTACAAATGTTTTCACAATTCGCACAAAAAGTGTGCACATGTTTGACGTAAAGGAAGTTTTACTGCAATGACCAAGTTTTTGTAATGCTTAATTAAAGAAAAACAGAATGCTTTCAATATAATTAATATTAAATATCTTGCTCCGAATTCGGCTTAAAAAAGGTGGCATTACTGTACTAACTTTAAAAGTCCGAATCGCCCTTGGTGGCCACTTCGGACTGCAGCGGATTGAGCGCGGAATCGTTAAATGAAAATTCAGTCAGCGGATTGGATAGTGATTTACCAAAATGCTTATTTTATAAACTTAACATGTAAAATGTTAAATTATTTGGATGAGGGTTAATCACCAATTGAACAACGTTTATGGGAAAGTAAGATTCGAATCGATTTAAGTGTGTTTATTGGGTGTATTTAATCAAATCACTGGATAAATTGTTAGTGATTTTGATTTCACTGAAAAATCAGTGTGTGTCACCGCAGAATGGAATTGAGGTGATTTTCCAGCGGAAGTGATTTCTGTGGCACCCCTGATACTTACACAAATTGCAATTTTTTTAGAAAACAATTTTTCACACAAAAAGTCATAAAAAACAAAATCTATTTTATTATAGATATTTTATAAAATGTTCTGTTCTACAGAATGACACAAAATCAAATGGAATAGGCACAAAATGAAATAGGCGTTCCAACACACATTTTAAGACCAAATTTGAGATGTTTTGTTGATTAATTTTTAATTTTCGAGGAAATTATTTATAGAAAAGTACAAACTTTTGTATTGAAACAATGCCACATATTCTGGCTATCGTTTACCGCATGATATTTGGTGCAAACATTGCGGAGGAATGAAATGAAATAGGCGTTCAAACACACACTTTTTGACCAAATTTAAAATTTTATTAATTTTTAATTCTTGAGGAACCTATTTATAGAAAAGTACAAATTTGTTTGTGCAAACCAGGCCACATTTTCTGGCTATCATTTAAAAAAAAAGCAGCATGCAATTTGATGTACGCGTTGCGGAGATAACCGCTCACACACAGATTTTTTTCTACAAATTTATAATATAGATTTAATGTAGTTAGTAAGTGATAGTTTTGAAGTCCCGCCACTGTATCAGAAGCCAAGCAACATGTGAGAATAAAGCACTCGTAAAATTGACTTCGTTTCGCACGGTTCATTTCTTTGATCGACTTCTATCGCCGCCTCAGCTTTGGTCCGTCCCGCTAATCCCCGCGTCTCAAGCCTAAGTAAAGGCATCCGCAATAACTTGCATTATCGGTTCGGAAATTCTTCAGAATCCATTTAGTTCCTGCACCGACAATTACCTAAGACCTTTAGCTTTTAGTTGACATATGTACATATTTGCATAATAAGCAATGGGTTAAAAGTTATTAAGCAAAAACAAAACTATTTGTACAACCGGCACCTCTCCCTTATTGATACAACTTTGATGCAAATGCCTTAAAGCACGTATTTTTGTTTAAGAACTGTCTCGGCACTAGCTGCATATTAAGGTCTCATTTATTCTGTCTTGACTTTCAATGATTTCTGTTGGTTGAATTTAAGGCAATCACTTGGAAAATTCTAGTGTGCATAATTTTTTATACAAGTATTTAATACAATAACTTCAGAGCGCAACTTGACTTTTTAAACTATTTAATTTATATATTACCGAAAACTCTTTTGCCAGAAATTTCTTACCTCCTTGCTCATCCAACATAACAATGCTTCGCATTCCAACTTCCGCGCTCTAAATAGAAATACATGTTCATTTTGAAATTAGTAGCATACGCCGTAAATAACAAAAAAAAAAGACACTATATTTTTCTTAATTTTATTAAGAACATAAGTACAATTTTGAAATTCGGCATGCCGAAGATTTCTTGCGACTGTGTAGATTTTGTTTTTACTTATACATTTACAAAAAAGTTTTTTTAATTTTCTTCAGTTATTTTTAACGGACTTAAGTTAGCAGGACGTGTTCCTTTTAAATTTAAAACTTCGAGCACCAGCTGCATGTGTAAAATGAATTGCCATTTTTCACGTGCTCTCTAAACTTCGAAGATTTGGAAGTTTAATGTTCATTTTAGCCTTAAATATACTTATGTATATAATAGTCTCGTAATGTAATTTAGTCAACGTTCGTGGATTAGAATCTTGTCGGGCCGTCATTGATGCGTCCAAAGATTAAATGTTCTTATTCTTCTCCTCCAATAAGCTACTGTAGATTTTATATTATTTTTAAGGTGCCATGCAACCATATCTTCAAAACATGATTTGCATTGAAGAATACGTAGACGCATTACGCATACTACCTTCATTGATTAAACTAAAGTTTATACCAGTACTCGAAGAGTTAAAGGGTATATTAGATTTGATGTGTATAACGTCTCCGACGTTTCTTGATCAGCATCAATAGCCGAGTCGATATAGCGATGTATGTCTGTCTGTCCGTCCGCCTGTCTTGGTTGAGGGCGACTGTAAAAGCTAGAGCAACCAAATTTTGTTTCCAGACTCATCCACAATTTTAAAGATACGAGAAAACTAAAAGCGCAGTATCGTAGAGAACTATATATTATGGTTAAAAGGAAGAAATTAATTTCTGTTGTTAGCCCTCCCCTTCCAGAGCTGCAGCCGCTACTACTTATTCTCTCTCTCGCTCACACACTTTGCCTCGTGCAGTGTACGTGAGCCCTCCGGCAGAGAGATGTTTAATCTAAATTCACATGTAGATGACAGACGTAGAAAAAAAATGTAAACAGGTAAAAATTAAAAATTCTACATAAATCATAAGCTCACTATAGACTGACTAAGTATGGGTATAAAAGTAGAGTCGCAGCAACTGCAGGCACTCAAAAAGTTCCCCTCGTTCTCTTGAATTGAATTGGAATTGTTAAGCTAGTTTTTCTGTTACCACTTATAAAAATGTTAATAATAATCAAAGTCAAATGACTAGGATTCACGATCTTCAATGGTATTAAAATCCTAAGTACCCGAATCTATCCCTCCTTTCCTAATTACGTTAACTAAACATGCCCAATCAAATTTAAATAAAATAATGAATTTCGATATCCTAGACCTTTTGCATTTTTCAGTTTTCAAGTGGACTCCAGGAGTACTGGTGAGACAGTGGGAAGGCGTAAGTCGGTGGATTCAGAAGCCTAAAACAGATTAATTTGGTATACTACTATGAAAGCAAAACTGACAGCGTATCACACGGAACCACCCTGTGCAGATAATGTAAAAATGTGGTGTGAGTTGCCATTAGAAATAAAATAATTTGAGTCTGCTGTTTAGACTATTACGCAGATGTCGCGTGTCGCTGTTATTTCACATAGTTTAACAAAATATTTCGAGAAAACATTCAGTGAAATATGGCAAAACAATTTGGGATTGAAACACTAATGGACAAATTAGCACAAATTCAAATTCGTCCAAAAACTTTCTTAAATTTTCTCGTAAAAGTTCGCAAAAGCCAGAGGAGGTCTATTATACATTATAAATATGTATATGGATTACATATATAATTTCCATGAACACAGCTGTATGTAGAAGATCAGATATATAAAATCTTTATCCCTCGTGATCACTAGTGAAAAATATCATAAAATACTAAATTTTTTAAAAAGGTTCGATTCTATAATGATCTTATAATGTTCTTTTATTATGCTTCTAGAATGGAGAGAGCATTATATGTTTATATACAGAGATAAAGACGATCATTAATACTTTAATTGCCTATTCAAAGTTCATGCCTTGGACCATTTTCAACATTTTAGATGGATATGTTTAAGATCCTACCTTCTTATGACAGTGTGTCCGCGCCATTATAATTTATATATATCTTCCTTCTGCCGCCCGCAAATAAGTACACTTCACCATTATATTAGTTATTTAGTTGGGGATGAGGGCTTATTAACAATCCAAACCAAATTTAATTATAAAAAAAAGACCCATTTTCAAGATAATTTAGAAACAAAATTAAAATATATATATACTGATTGGCAAAAGCGCCTACATTCGTTGGAATGGCTTGGCTCAACAGATAAGCCGAAAGTCATATGCATTTTACCGAATACTGTAGGAACTCGTATAAAAAATATAAAAAAAAGTAAACAAAATAAATTTTGTTTGCATAGTGTATCGATTTTTAGCTTCCAATGAAAAGTAAATGATTATATTTTTATCTCTTTAAACAAATGTTTATTCGTATAAGCGTATAATATGTATGTTATATTATTGTGATATATTGTTCTGTTAGCAGTGGACTCACCTCCTTGATCATCAAGGGCTACAAGTGTACGTATTCCTGCTTCCTTGCTCTGTTGTGCAGCAAATTGGAATGTAAATAATTTTCAAAAGTGTATCAGTATAAGTCTGTGTTAATATTGTTTAGTTATGTATGTATATAATTAAATATATATATATGTTCAAAATTCGATAAACAGAATATATTGACTTTTAAAGTATTTAAAAAAATGTTAAAACCTAAAAAACTGTTTGACTCGTATAAATGTATGTGAATGTAGTACGCTTTTCTACGGTTTAACAGAATACGAAGTAGCATCATTTCACTACCGAACACCATTTCGCCGCTTCAAACCAAACAAACTGTTTTTTTTTTTTATAGATTTCGGGCTTTAAACATGCTTAGTGATATTTTTTTTTATGTAGCAAAACTTTTTTTTAAATTTTTTTAAAAACTGGTATTTTTAAGCTTTTTTGAATTTTTTAAATAAATTTAAAGCTTCCAATCTGTCAGAATAAGTCGATTTGGTTCAAAGCGGAAAAAAAAGTTCAGTTTTTTCGTGTAGTGTTATTAGAGGGGAATGGCTAGCTCCGGTAAACCGAAGCTTAAATACTTTGAAAGTTTATTGAATTATTTTTAAATCGTAGAAGAGCTTTTAAGAGCTATAAGATTTACATTAGAAGTCAGTGGAGAATAACTTTAATATGAGTAGTTGCCGCTTTTTTCCGACTTTAAAAAAATGTTTAATCGCTCATACCATCTTCTTTCTACTGATGAATCGACAAAGCCAAAGGAAGTCAAAATTATGATAAGGAAACAGCTTGATTGCAGTTAACTTTTGTGTTCTTTTTCTTTCACCAACAGAATAACTCAACGGACTTATGCACAGGTTAATGTAGAGTTCGTTAAGTCTAAAATACGAACTCAACAAATGTCGAGCTAGTGGCCGCCAACAGTAAATATTATTGCATAGACTGACTGCCGCTACCCAAACCTTAGCCTTCTCCACCGCTTCTCCTCCTTTTTATCAGGATTACCCTTCCACTTCACACTCTCTGCACATTACACATGGTTATTCAGGCTACGTCGATCGTGACAGTCCGAAATAAAGCAATCAACACATTTTGGCCAGTTTTGACTCAAGGTGCTAATCTTTTCTTATTACTGAGGACCTTGCTTTCCTACCCGTAGAGTAGAGTCATGTATTAACTTTCTTGGTATGTATTGATAAATAAAATTCTCAAGTTTTCTCAGTAATATGAACCACTTTTGCTTGTCAGCCAAACGGACATAAAAGCATGTGGGGAAAAGTTTTAAACTAACAAATGCATTCGGTGTGCACCGTAACCCTTAGCAATTGAGTGAGAGAGTCACGAGCGAGCGTTCTGACCTTGGCGGGGGAAAAGTGAGGCATAGTCAATCCTCGGCGAGAAGTGTGAGATTTGAGAAGTGTGCGCTCGAATTAACCCAACAACAGAGGCGAGCGGCCGTTATGGCCAAATAAATTAACGACTTTTCAGATAGGATCATGTTGCAACGAATTAAAGGATTTAATAAGGGAGGGGAACGTAAAGCGTGACGGGGTATATCCAACCACTATGAACGAAGCAGGCAAAAGCACAGTACCGCTTTATGTTCATTGCTATTCTTTCAGAGCCAGAAAGGGGACCGCTGCATCGGTACGGATGAACGAGGGTGCAGCGTAAGCATGCTAGAGCTCACTGCGAGCTTTTTTGTTTTCTTTTTATACCCGTACTCAAAAAAGAGTTAAGGGGTATATTGTATTTGTGGTAAAAGTGGATGTGTGCAACGCAGAGAAGGAAACGTTTCCGACCCCATAAAATTTATACATTCTTGATAACTTGATTCTTGATAGTTAGATAGATAAATTCCATATTCCATCCATATTTTTAAAATCTTTAAAATCTTTTAAAATTTAAAATCGTCATCTGGTTTTTTGATGAATGATGCTGTGACCTTTAATTTAGTTCTGAACAATGGCCCAGATTTTGATCCCTTCGAGAAACTTAACGGTAGAATCTTCAAGATGTATCATTGGGAAGTTCTATGATAATTTTCGGAGTTATTAAGTCAAAACTAATTGATTTTCGTCCCAATTTTCGCTGTTCAAAAACAAGTTGCTCAATTTGAATTGGTTGGTGTGTGGTGTGTTTCGAAGTTTACCAAATCTTGTATCTTTTTAGGGTCTGTTGTCCGGGGAAACAAAGTCCAGTTTGTGGTTTTCTTTGATGATTGATCTGTAGAATTGCTTTCCTTTAGGATTCACTCAGTCTCCTGCTGTTTTAAAACGCTCCCCTAGAAATTGCAGAAATCCATGAACTGACCTTCAGTAATTGTAAAGCGAAATGAACAGTAGACAATGGCAATAAGTCGTAAGATTTACATTACTGGATTGTACATGTAGCTTGCATATCATTTGTGGCAAGCCCCATATGTATATTGTGTTTGATTAACCATGTGCTTTTCCATTCGTATGATCTGAACCATAGAAAAAATAGCTCCGTTATGATAAAAGTCGAGAGCATGCTCTTGAGTGATCTTTATTTGCTCACAGGGCCAGGCTAGGTAAGCTTTATATGAGAATGAAGAGTATATAATTAACGTTAATGATAATAGGATTCTCCTATTCTAAAACATAGGTGGGGTGATAGATACTACTCGACCAAATCGAGCTTTGTTATCCTCAACCGACTTTTTCTGATAGATTAGGAGCTTTACATTTTTTTTCAAGAATTATGGTTTTTCTTACCGCACAAAAATCATTATTTTGTCCTTTGAAACCTTAATATTTACTAGATGGTAAGCTAAAACCACAAAATGCTTGGGTTCATATTTTAGCTGGAGCAATTAGCTTTTCAGAATGGAAAAGTTCTTTGCAACCAAATGTAAGTTACTTAAGTAATGTGAAAAAAAGCGCTACCTTTCAAAAAAGGTTATGAAAAGAAATACCAGTTATCAAAAACTCTTTAAAAATAAGATCTGCCATAAAAAAAAGCACCAATAGCCATTTCGCATTGGGGACCATCCACCATCTATTTTTGGGATGGTCCGTAAGGATTTGCCGTTCCAAAAATTTCCCAGTTATTCCACCATCCATCTGGGATGTTCCTAATTCGCACGTTTCTGTGCGGAATTTTTTCGATAATTTGACATTTGACATTCACAACAAAAAATCTGAATTCACTACGAAAATGTAAACAATGACAGACAGGAAAATGGTAAAAAAAAACAACAACAAAACATCTGATATGTCAAAATTGTCTCAGATACACAACTCTGTTTGTGGACTATCCTCTGGAATCCTCTCATTTATGAATACTCTGCAAAACTCAAGAAGGATATTGCACACGCTATAGGCTGACAGCCTTCCGACTATTCTTTACTCAAAACAAAGAGCCCAAAGTATACGGCTGTACATAACTTAGCTTTAAAAACGCCTCGTTGTTTTTGGGTACATCTTTCTCCCAAAATGTCCCAAACCGCTTCTCAACACACATAAAATATTATATTTCTATTTAAAACATTGATTGGATTTAGTATAAGCAGTCACAAATGACCACGCTTCAGTGTTTTCAAAACAGATATCCACTCCAATAAATTCTCCTCGTCAATGTTAGCCGCATTATCATCATCCATGTCCAGCAACATGATTAGCTTGTGCAAGAATATGTTTTGCTGCTGAATCACATTCACAACCATTGCAATGTTATTTACATTCGTTTTAATTATAAATATGAACAATTTTTCACCGCACGCAATTGTGAGCATCAGCTGTTTTCACATCTTTCAAAAATTCCCACCATTCCCCCGGGATGGGCTCAATGTGCAGAGGGCATAAGAATGTTTAAAGTCCCAAATCTATCGAAAAAAATTTGGTTTAGTTCGAAGCGCGGAAATGGTGTTAGGTAGTGCCATTGAACATATGAGCATAGTATTGACACGTTTGACAGGAACAATAGTTGTTTAAGCCTAGTACTCAGATCCAAAAACTGTTTGCTAGCAAAGAAATGTCATATATTCTTCTAGCGACCAGTGTGTTTTATTCGCTATTTTTGCGCTGATATGGCACCGCTTTTTCACATTTTGTTGTGGCGGACTCTGGCAAGAGAATTTAAGGGCAAACAAATTTTAAAATGTCGCTTAAACGCAAATATAGTGATTTATGGAATCACTTCGACGCTGTAAACGAGAAAAAGGCCAATTGCAAGTACTGCAAGTCGGAACTGAATATGGCTGGATGTTCCCAGAGCAATTTGACACGACATTTAAAGATAAAACACGCAGCTTCTTTAGAGATGGTTGAACGGCAAGGAAGTACTCAGGCCAGTAATTCTGCAGCAACAACATCGCAGCAAAAAATAACTGCATTTGCCCAAAAGCCAGCCAACTGCTCATAAAAGTGAGCAATTAGAAAAACAGCTAGTGCGAATGATTTCCAAAGGACACCATGCTCTCCGGATCGTGGAGGAGCCGGATTTCAAGAAGCTGATAGAGGATGTTTCGTATTGTCCTGGATATAAGATGCCCACACTTAAAACGCTGTCTAATGTGCTTCTTACAAATATACACAGTAAGTTAAGTGCAAATGTGAAAGAGAAGATGGGATTAGCATCTGCAGTTTGTCTCACTACCCATGAATGGACATCGCTCACCAATGAAAGTTACATGGCTGTACCCACGCATTTTGTAGATAATCTTACAATCTACGTATATGCTTGCTTGTGAAGAATTTGGTGAGAGGCACACAAACCTCAATATTTACTCTTTTTTCCAGGAGGTGGCAGCTGAATGGAAAATTGAAAATAAAATTACTGCTATTGCATCAGATAATGCTGCTAATATCGTATCGGCTATTAAATTAGCAAATTGGCGCCATTTTGCATGCTTTGCCCACACTTTAAATATCATTGTAAAAAAGCGATAGGACCAATTGATAGTGTGAGGGTCAAAGCCAAAGCAATTGTGGTATTTTTCAATCCGGACTCAAGAAGCTCAATGATATCCAAAGCCAATTAAAGCAGCCTGAGCTCAAGTTGACTCAAGATGTGCCTA